ATCGTTAATTGTAAGGGATTTGAATATTGTGTTACTGTTCTATGTCATTCATAGATGTTATTGTTTTCTAGACAAGTTTATCTAATACTGTCATTGATAAGCCAAACCCAAGAACAAAAGAACAACAAATGCAAGATGTGCTTGAGTTTCTCTGCACAGACACTGTATGGTAAGTGATATTGAAAAAAGTCAATGTGATGTATAAACAATTAGCAGAGCTTGGTATAGGCTAAGGGGAGGGTTGTTGTATCGAAGGAGGAGAATGATCATTGCATCCTGTAAGGGTAAAAATCAGGGATCTGGGATCTTTTACAGTTATAAGGAGTTTAAGATAAACTATTTGTCAAAGTTTTCCAGCAACAGAACCAGATGACCTTGTGAATTTACAGAAAAGAGAGTGGAGCCCAATAATTGATTGGTTTAATGAAAGGTAATCTTATTTTATCATATAATTATCTATGAAATACTTATATTTTTCCATTTCATAAAATTGATATTAACATATTTGATAATAATATATTTGTGGTTTCTCTATGCAAGTAAGAAAAAAGGAATTTTATGACATAATTTGCTTTCATATAAAATTATATAATAAATAGAATATTACATGTTCGCTTGGGGATACAAATTTTATCTTCTTGTGTTGAAAATCTTTTCAACACTCGAAGATAGAATCCGTATCTCCGCGCGCCCATGTAATATCCTCTATATATTCCTACAGCATGTAGAATATTACATTACCAAAATGATTTCAGTTGTTTGAGAATGGATTTTTGGAGCAGTCATACAAGTGTAGACTCGCTATGTATTCGTAGTTGTTATTTTTGCTATCGCTGCCTTGATTATTATTCCTCTCTCTTAATAACTCTAACTGTATTTTTTGCTATTTTTTTAGATTTGATGTTTCAGTAACAGTTGTTGATGATCTTCTGGTTCAAACAATACAAAAGGAGACAATAAAAACACTTAAATCACASTTGACGTCAATCAATGATTGGGCCATGGCAGGTAAGRGAACAAAACTGGGATACCTGTGTAAGAACACAGGCAACCCAACATGAAGCTACCACTTTCATATATGTACTGTCTAAATTTCTTTTCTTAAGTTTTGATACACAGCTGCATGTTTAAGGATTTATTAGCCACATCTTTAATGCCATTGTCTTGTACATATTTATCACTCATTACAGTATAATAGATGTTAAATTATATTTTTCTCTCAAGGCCTTRAACTTGCAGTAGAAACTTCAAAGTCATTTATTATATCAATTGGGTTGCTGGATAATCACATCAATGTTGAAAAAGCTGCTTATTTATCAAGACTGGAGGTAGAATTTCAGGTATGTCAGCTTATAGTATGAATTRGGTAGATTAGAAGTACATTCAATGTAGTACATKCTGTAYGTTTCTTGTWTTCTAGATTGGTCGATGGGGAAGCGTTGAGTGGGCSCATGATGTGGATTTAATGGAGCTACGGAGCAGACTTGCAGCTGCTTCTCTTTTTTATCATCTTTCAGTAAAAGAATAAACGAAAGTGAATGCAGTATAAGCATTATGACATTTGCCGATTTGATGGCACTTGGTGGATTTCCTGTGGTGCTTGGAGTGGTGGTGGTGTGAGCCACCAGTTGGAAAATCAGTTCTTGTCACGAAGGTGACTTATACACATCTGTATGGGTCGATTATTKTAGGGAAAATCAAACAAACAAAACAAAACAAAGAAATAAAAGCAAAGAGAGCAGACGAACAAACTTTCTAATAAGCATATGTCATCTGTTAAAACCTCCTGATGTACAGTAAATATAGCCCTTGATTATTCATTTTTTTATGTTGTTTCTAAAAATATTCCCTATATGACAAAGTTTAGTTTTGGTTTTCATAGCTTTAGTTATATAGGAATTTCAGGCATTGTTTGAACAAAAGTTGGAGCAGAACGAGAAATCGTAACTTCCGCGTTCTTGCTTTGCAATAAGGCCTTCAAACCCGAAAAATCTCAACACTTTGAAAATACTAATAGCGAGTTGAACTTTCGATTTMTACTTTTAAAAACAATAATGAAAAGAATGTTTATCCCCTTTTTGCCTTTCAATTTGTTATCAGATTTTGCAAATCTGAGTTAATCTTAGCGTTAATGCGTTATAAGACGAATACAAACGTATTTTTACAAATATTTGCGCAAGAAAACTTTATTTATGTATAACAAAAGTTTTCAAACTTTTCTTGATACTTTGTCCTATTCACTTACTATCGCTCCAACTTTATAACCCACAGTAACACTGATGTATTATAAATCAAATTTAATTGTTTCAATTAGAGTTACATTGCCTATTCACAAGATCTTGTTATTTTCGCAAAGTGTCTAAACGCCAAGAAGATATTTACTTAAATACGGAATTAATTATTGCTAAAACAATTCGAATGTCGYCAAAGTTGAAGTGCAATATATATCGTAAACATGTTACTTAATACTTTACGTTCTCTTCCTAATTCCACTTATCACTTTCACATTTCGCTCTTTTTTCTCTTCAATGTATCGTGTAGTTTTTRACTCTACGGAAAGTTCCAATCTCCGAAAAATCTCGTTTTTTACTTGACTGACGTAAAACATTTCCGTTCTTGGCAGCTAGTTGTCAAGTACTTTTGTTYTCATATTGACTGTGAAAATTATCAAAGCTGATCTCTTCACCCACTGTGACTCGAAACTTGATCTCAATGTACCATTTTACCAGGAGCACGACAGTCTTAAGCTACCACGACATCGAAACATATTGGACTACAGAAATTGTATGACAAACGGTAGACGTTGCAAGTTATTGAATTCYGMAAACATYCCGTCAAAAAGGTTACAAAGTTTGACAGTCTTCAAACGTTTTCGTTTTACTCTGYATTAGYKTTACGTCTRGCTGWTAATTCCCWATAGAAGCCTTTATTCTTCGATTCAAAACAGCGCGGCTGAATAGCTGTTTAATTGGTGACAATTTGAACCAATGGATCATAATAATAATCACAAGACCTGGGACCTGGCTCAGAGGGCGAGAAAAGTCTCGAAAGGTCAGGCTAAAATTTTCTTGACCAGGAACGCTGGCGATGAGCAAAGGCTTGCGAAACTAACGCAGCATCTCGACAAGGAGAAGTCGGCAAAAAATTCCGAATTAAACTTCGCAAAAAAGCTTCTTGTCAAGCGATATGGAGCAGGAAAAGCAGAGTTTGAAACTATAGGAGAACAAAGAGGACCGCCACGTAGTCGAAGCTTGACTTGGGACTCTACTTTTATGACGAAACCTGAAATGGAAGACACTCGAAGTCGCAAAGTGTCCTCTATACAATCCCGCGGGAGTTACACCGATATCCCGCGCGCTCACTCGTCGGAGAAAGACCTTRCACCAGTTCGTAAGTTTTCCCACATAGCTCGTTTACAACCAAGAAAAGACTCGTATGTGAACATTGTTAGCTTATCTGATGGAGAAATAAATAAAAACTGTGAAGCCCAGGAAACGAGACCTCGWGCCATTTCCGAAGTTCTTCCACCCATTACTCTACCGCCTATCTACAAGGCAGGCCAATCCTTACCTRCTGGGGGAGGGCTAAGGCCTCGGTTTTCAACCAGCCAACTTCGAACTGATACAACTACACCTGTAGCTGGGCCAGTCAGGAAAAGGAGCCTTGGAGCTTACACCGCCCCAGGCAATGCATTATTGAATGGAGAGAACTCGATAAAATTTGATGCTTCACTTGGTAGTTGTCGATACCTCCGAAAAAGAGATAACGAGGGTACATTATAGTCTCCCCTGCAGCCACTTTCAGTCAGATGTCTCCACTGAAAGCTTACCATGACACTGATAACAGCTGCAAGGGAGTTTGGGTAATTCAGGACTCATARAAATAGTGCAAAAATTATAACATTTTATTATATTCAGAAATTGGATGTAATTGTTTAGATTTTATAAATCACATAAAAAAAATAAATATTAGAACTACACCTTTTGAATGGAAAATGGTCACCATTCTGTTTTTCCTTGTTGATGTCTTCTTAAAATATAACTACTTGAATACTAAAGTCTTAAAATATTAAAATGTTCTTGACATTTTCCCTTTTACAACCAGGTATCTTTCTGTTTTTTGGAGTTTTTTTTTGTTGTTTTTTTCATTTTTTCCTCCTTCACTACAGTTTGCAGGTGAGGGATGCCATGACTACAGTTTTACCTTCTGGGACAAAACCATTCTTTCTCTAAAAGAAAGCCAAGTTCAAATTGTTTACCATGTAGATTCAACCAATATCAACTATCAATGTATTTTTTCCCCATTGTTGAAGTGCCCTGATTCACCTATTACAGCTTTTATCTTATTCAGTCATCTCCAGTTTCTGGAAATTTCAATGAAGTGTATTTGTCCAGGTAATTGTTTGGATTGGTTACTGGAATGTTTAGGCCAGTCAGTGGCATAACTCCAAGTGGAACTCCATATTAAGCCAACGTAGCAACTCCAAGTTGTATCTTAGCCCTGGTCATGGCATTGAGTGGGAATAATGACAATGTTTTAAAACAATGTTGTAGGTTATAGTCGTACCTATTGTCACCATGGAAACACATTCACTTATTGCCCACTAAGTTCTTACTTTAGTAAACGATTTAACAATTTCCTTTACGGTAATAGTAACACCAACAACACCACCAACAGTACCAAATAGAATCACAAGGTAGTTCTTTGCTATTATCCATTTTGAGTTTATTCCTTTCTGGAGAACATTATGAAAGATGCAAGGAAGAATAAAACCCAATGTCGAGCTTCCTAGAGAACCACACAGGGCACTGACATAAGCAAAGTCATCTTTAAGAGCAATAGCAAGACCGCCAGTGATWAGAACRATGATTGTTCGAAGGAAATTCTTGCGCCAATTGACTTTCTGAAAAATTATTGAATAAACAGCATATTAGTATTGAATAAAGATACAATGTAGTGTCATATTTTACACACAGTAAAGTGCAYGCCACATAAGTGTGAAACAATTCTTAACTAATTAGCGCCTAATAAGATTTTGTTATCAACCAACTAAGAATTCAGTAAGGCGTAAACAAAGACCATTTCCTTTTGTGTTCATGCCCCAGTGAATTCTTGGTTGATAACTAAATCTTATTAGTTGTTGATTGTTAAGAATTGTTTCACGCTTTTTTGGTGTGCACTCTATCAAACTTTGAACATTTCCTTTTACATTGAAATAAWTTATCCTTCAACCACAACTRAATAACACTATGTGCACCAGCACTATACACTATACACAAACCTTTTTAGGTCTTTTGAAGTGGTTTCCTGTCGCTGACAGCAACTCTGTGGTTTCATCAATGTCTGGACTACACCCAACATCTGTCATGACMGAGTCTTGCTGGATAGAGGCACTAGGAGACATTTCTTTATTCACTGATTGCTGAGCTTCAGGGTCCYCTTCAGTGTCATCATGCTTGACAGGTTCCTTAGGGCCTTTAAACAGATAACTCTCTATAACCTCTGTGATTGGAAAAAGCTGTAGGGGATATGTGAAGAGGATAGCCAGACACAAGAGAATCTTCACAACAAATACTAAAGGTGATTCAGGTGGCAACATTTCTGTTACAATTTGAGGTGTCTTGTTGCCATACACAAGGTAACCAATAACACCAAACCCACACAGCATACAKGACACCGATCCAACTGCTAGATGAAGATAGAGTGGGTAGCGATTTCTGTTATCACCCATACTGGTGTAGACTGGAATAAGCTGG